AGCAGCGGCTCTGCCATCCGGCCGGATTTTATTTAACGCAAGTGTTTAGGCACGGACCGCCGAGTAATTGTACACTTAGCTTATTGTCAACACGGGTAACGACACGCACCGACACGGAGCCTTCAGGGACCGGTATTCCTCCGTTCTCTGGTCATTTCATGCAATGTTTCAAAGGGACCTGTGACTAAAAAAGAAAAAAAACCAAAACACCACCACAAAAAAACCCACAACCACAACCCAGTCCCATTAACGAGAACCACAGAGGAATGACCTGACTGGGTACAATAAATTTCTGCTTTCTAAACTGTTACTTCAAGAAAAAGTACTCCAGGTGTTTTAAGGAAACTTCCATAGGCTTTGCTCTCTGTCCCTTCGCTGGGAGACGCAGGGTGGACCACAAAACACAGGGACAGTTAAGAAAAAGGTGCTAATAAAGAGCAAGTGTTTTCTCAGTGGGCCATTCTATACAAGTTTATATTTTAAAAAAAAGTATTAAAATGCTTTGTATATACAAGCATATGCAGTCACAAAAGAGATTCTGTGCTCTCAAAAGAGATGCTTACAGCAAATTTTCTTCTGCTAATAGTATAGTGGTATCATATACCACCTGATTTCAACTATTTAAGCCCTTCATATTTGCACTCTTTTTTATGACATACAAGAAAAACGTGTTGCTCAAAAATAGAAAACATAAGTTTGTGACCAACGTGATCTGTTCCGCCTAGTGCTTTATTCTGCATCTTGCTGTAAGCGGAGAACAGGCAAAGAACGGGTGCAAGCTGTCCTTGTCCGAGGGGGATCACAGCATACACCTCTCGAAGCCAGAGGTACAGGAAGGATTAACAGTACACGTATGTAAAAGTTTCTTCCACTCTCTCCATTCATTTGGACAGTATCTAAAGTGTCATTTTTCTCCCACGTATTTAGAATTAAACAGCATCCTTAGAGGCTTTAAAGAATCAGCAGATACAGGAGAGTTTCTTTTGATAGCTAGAAACAATTACGTAGTACACGAAATGTCACTCCCTCTGGGTACAGACTCTTCACTGCACGGCTGGCTGCGGAGACTCAAAAACTCTTCTCTGATGAGCACAGTTCACTGTTGCTCATATTTAAAAAGAAAAGGGAGCTGGGTAGCAACTCTTCATGGCTTTTCTGTATCACCATGCAATCTGACATAAAATTTCTATCACCCCGGTTTAAATTTCTGAAGATAGTTGTTCCTCGATGACATGCTCACTTCTGCTGCAAGCTGACATGCGTGATTAAGTCCTGGTGAGCAATGCTGGTTTACTGGCTTAGGTTGAGGTACAAAGATGAATTAGTTTCTATAATGGCTTTTTCTTCTCAGATCTCAGCCTCCTCAGCGCCTTGCATGAAGATGGCAAAAACGGTGGTGAAAAGTGCGTATTTTGACTTCAAAAACAGTATACAACTATTCAGAATGCACATGGCAGCAACCAGTAACCTGTGTCTTTAAGAATATTATTTATTTGCTTTTGTAAACAACCTCATTTTTAAACAAATTAAAAATACATTGAAAAGTCTCTCTCTATATATATACACAGTACATGTCCAAACGTCACTTCATTGAGATGCCATGGTTTAAGCAGAAAAACAAGAGGTCTTGATCCAAAACTCAGTTGCATCACAACCATCTTCGGCCGTACAGCACACCACGCTGCCAAGACCCGGCCCTTTCAGGAATACTTCATTTGTTATTTATCACCTGAACCGTTTTTCGGCCATAGTGGTAATAGCTGTAAGCAGATGTTACCGTTGTGAAAGCTGTGATGCACCTTTGGGGAAAACAGTTCCTGTAAGTCATTTGAGTCGAAGTACAATAATGAGAAGTGTTATTCTTAAGTGTTTTCCCTATTTTTCAGTACACAGTCAGGGACTATGTCCTACAGAAATGCAATTTACAGTTTATATGCTGAAATTCTGCGCTAAGCAGAGGATTAGATAAACAAAGGAACTGCCGCCCAGGTCTCAGTTCCACGCTTCTGTTTAATTGCATACTTGGCCAAATTTTTACCGTATTAGCACTTGTTTTAGAGAAGGGAAGACAAAAGGTTCAGTATTTGTAGTCTACATAATTTTTACCAGCTTGAGAAGGGACTGATGTGAGAACGATCCCTTGGTAGTATGAAAGGGGCGCATTCAAACCCTACAAGACTTGAACTTGTCATTTTACCAAGTTCCAAAGCTAAAGCACAAGTTTCAGCTTCAGCCTCTTTTGTCCCCTTCCCAGGTGCTGGGTAATAGCCAGATCTGTTTCTAAATTAGCAGTGCTCCTCTGTGCCAAAGGCACACCGTTCAGGTGTGAGCCACCGCTACAGTCCTGCCTCTCCATTATGGCTGCCCTCCCTGGACACGCTGCCGGACTCATCCAGGTAAGGTCTGAGAGTGCTTATAGAGCAGCCTGGTTAAGTTCCACCCGGCGTTTCTCCATTACTCACTACACCGTAACTTTCTCATGGCGTCCCAGACAAGCAGCAAAGTTAAGCATCTGCAGTTCCAGATTTGGCTTTCCAACAGGATTAAAAAACACATTGACTGTTAAGATCAAGGTTTCTAGTTCCTTAAAAGCTCAGGGTTTGCGTTTGTTGTTTTTGGTTTTTTTTTTTTTCCTCAAAAGAAAAGTAACACTGGATTTTCTACTATTTTAATCTAAGTTACTAATTCTACTATCTGTTGTTCAGCCTCTTTGTTCTGAACTCTTACCTAACTGCTCAGGAGAAGTAACTGCACTTGTAACACCTGCCCTCAGCTACAATTCCGATTCAGATACAGTTCAGATGTCCAATGACAGCAGTGAAAGGAACGGCCATTATTTAAGGAGGTATGCTCCTGCATGCCTGTTTTCATTCGATCCCTCCCCTTCCTTCCTACAGTCTAGCAGGAATCACCGATCTCTTCAGGTGCTTTTCAAAGAGGCTTCAGAAACCTAGATTTCAAGGTAGCAGGCACAGCATAAAGCAAAAACAAGAAAACACTTCCCATCTATTTTTACTGACATCAAGGTTGCTTTTTCAAGGACACTTACGGCATGAATAAATAAAGAACCCATACAGCCCTTCTTCCCACTCCCTTCTTTTCTATTAATCTGAATTTACACTTTGCCTATGTACACACATGTCTACTCCAAAGACTTGTCTCTTAGCTATTATTCCTGGATATTCACTAGCTTCATTTTGCTTTTTGCTTGTATAGTAAATTCAGTCCCAATAAATATGTAGCTCCTGTGTCAGCTAAGAACAAACGTGTAAAGATTCAGCTGTGTCTACCACATCATCTGGGCACACATTTTGTTCCACACGATTAGATTAATCTCAATTACCAGTTTCTTTAGGAGTACATAAAATTATTTGAAAAAAAAAGTGAAGAGATAAGTTACCATAATGTCTGCAGATATATGCTGTCCACATAATTGAAAACAGGAGCTGCTAAAGAAGCTGCCACCAAAATTAGCTAAACCGCTGTATTCATCTGATAAAAGCAAAATAGGAAACGTGACCAAAATGAAGACGTGTACTATGCAAGGAATACCAATATACACTTTTATTATTGGTTTAAGTATTAGTCTATATACAGAAAATTTATTTAGAAATCTCTTTTAATGAAGCACCTTACACACTGAAAATTAGCATGAGCCCTGACAGAGTTGAAAATCTCTCAGGATTTAAGTTGCCTCCATATTAGTTGGCACTACTTTGAAACTGCACTCAGCAGTAGTAGTAAACAGCCCCCTCCCTCCAAAACTACACACCGCCCCAAGTACTGAAGTTACCTTTTGTAACAAGTTACTACTCTTACCTTGCTAATGAATGTTGGTTTTAATTGGGCAGTGGCATAACAAGGGTTAAAATACCTACTGAGTGTTCTCTGTTGGGGGAGAAAAGAGAACAAAGAAAAAAAGGCAATTCTAGTATATTCAATTTTATATCCTTTGTCACATGATACAGAAAAGTCAACTGTAGCACTAAAGAATTATACTGGTACTGCTCTCGTATGATAGATTACACATACACAGGAGAAAAAGTCATCAATAGCTCTGACTCCTCTTTATGAAACCTATTTTACGAAATACTGTTCTGCTTACAAATCTGTCTGGCAAAAGAACAAGCACAGCATTACATCTCAGGCTATCTAGCCAAGTTTTGAGCAACCATCAGGTTGCAAGGTGAAAAATCTCTTGGTTACAACTTTGCTAAGGACTTATTCATTATTTATACTTGTAAAAATAAAGAAGGTTTAATTGAAATAAAATGATTACACGTTCATACCATTTTGTTTAATGCTATACACTTACCGGTGGAGAAAGTGTTTTGTATCGCACATAAAAAACAGCAGCAATAAGTGCTACATCCCTCAGAATAATCATGGAAGTAAGTGAAACTGAAAAACCAAGCCAACAGGATCTAGTGAAAAATCACGTCCGTGATTAAAAAGAAAACAAAGTATGAAGCAAGAAGTAATAACCACTCTCAAATTCTTCTGAACAAGTTTTTACACATGACTGAAGATTTTTAACATGACTTCTGAAAGGGTTTAATCTGAAATCTTAAAACAATCCAGTCTATGAGAAAATTTTTTATGTAGCTACTATTATCACTCTAAAGAAAGTGCATCTGAAAATGGCAGTCTATGCTATGCTCTGTATATTGCAGCACATGCTTTTCGTGAGGTCTGTTGCGGGGGGTCTTTCTTGAGTATTTAATAAGAGCAAATAGCAAAGTGCAACTGACAAAGCAAGAGTTCCAAGCAATACACAGTTTACCACCCAGAAACACAACGAGCATTACGATACATAAAGTTAGCTTCTTTGCTTTATATAGTGCATGCAAGTAATGACATTTTCTCACCTGGGATAAGATTTGCACAAGTTAGGCTTACGTAGAGCACACTGATGAGAATTTTATCAGCCAGAGGATCAAGAGCACTTCCCAAAGCTGATTTCTGGTTAGCCCAGTTGCGCGCAATAAATCCATCCAACTAGGAAAAACAAAGTTCAATGTTTCTCTGCTAGAAAACTAAGAACAAAAATAGCTTATATATGCTACTGTTACAGAGATATGTCACCAATGACATCACATAACACAGCCAGTTTAACTTAGATGAAATATGATACCTGTTAGCTGGTATTTGTATCATGCTTTTTTTCACATTACATTCCACATTCTGGAAGCCTCTGAACATATTCAAAAAATCTCATTATTTAAAAAAAAAAAAAAAGGGAAAAAGGATAAAAGGTAACTGGTATCCTAAAATTCACAGCATTATTGTCATGGTGGGTGCACCTGCACATGGTAAGGGACCATTAGATGCATAAGCACTGGCTGGACAACGCCCACCCAGGCTGGTCAGGGAAGCCCGATATCCCCTTCACTCCACCAGCACTAAGTCCCCTTCAGCCACGGGCGAGCTCCCTTCGCAGCATATATATGAAGGACATATATACTACTTCTAGAAAACAGCGAATATAAAAACTAATCCGTTTATTCGTTTCCATTCTACATTGGAGTCTAAATTTCGACACATGTTCACGGGATCACCGTAACCCACGCTATCCCCAAAGTATTTCCAAACCGATGTAAACGTACCAAATCGGTTACGCCAGCCAAAACAAAGACACCGAGTGCAACATTGAAATTTTCTTCAACAATCAAATAGCCTAAAACAGGCGCCAAACCCATTCTTGCCATTGACAGTAAATTTGGGATCGTCCAGGGGTTTTCGTACTGTAAAGCAAGAAAGCAAACACTTCAGGCCAGGAAAGCAACCCCTACCTTGGCCTGTAACAGAATTAATCAGGACAAACACAGGCTTTAAGTCGAACTAGCCAAAGGGACTTCTGAATTACTGGAAGCAACCTTGCCGCTTGCGCAAGACACGCAGACGCGGCCTCTAACTACTAAACATTAACTTAGCCTTCCAAAGGAAACTCGGCCGCCACCGGGAGGCCCCAAAAGCCCTCCTCCGCCTGCAAGCGCCGCC